CTCTGTGGACACTGATGGCCTATCACTTTAGACCAGGAGCTTGATGTTTCAGAGTAATTATTAACACATTGTCCATTCAGTAAAAGTTTTTTTCTTTTGACATTATTCTTTTGTGCCTAAGTTTGGTTGGTTCTTCTAATACCAGCCAAATTAAGAAATATAGCATCACAAAAAGGAAAAGGAAATATGAAAAGACAGAAGAGACGAGATGGTCACAGCTGGGAAGGGAGACGGAATGGGGGATGAGGGTTGCAGTTTCAGCATCATTCAGTCAGACAACATGCCCCTCAGCTGAAACAGCGAGACCCTCCCCGATTCTCTCGAATTAGGGAGATTAGCGGGAAAGCGCATAATGCAGGATGATGGAATTTGTCATAATTTGCATTGTCCTGGAAAGATTCGGCTTGATAGAGCGATGCATGGAGGGGCTTGTCATATCCCACGGGCAGGTCATAGAGGAAGCTTGGCAGAAATGATTTTTGCGATATGTGCATCAGTCGTAAAAGCCTCACAACCAATTTGTCAGAAAATGTGAGGTCGGGACAGTTGAAGGCAGCAGGGCATTTTGCCTAACGCAATGAAAAACCATGCCCCTCCATCACTCTACATCCACAGCCTGACTCTGGTGTGGCACAGTATTCCAGTGCAGCAGACAATTCCATTTCATCTGTTAAGTTTTGTTTGATCAGACTTTATTTCGACATAATTTGTTTCTGTAAATATATCGAAAACCCATCATTGAAAATAATACCTTTGTATTTAAAGTACCTGTATTTTATTACATTTCTTTCTTAAGTTGAAAAAAAATGTCTTTGCTTACGGTTGACTTTTGTGTTTTAGGAGACATTTCCCTGCTTTTGTCAGCATCAGACCACAATACTGATGGCTTTTTTCTGCTCAACACATTGAGCATCTGTGTACATGCTGAGGACAGACTTAAGGGACAGAAACAAAATATATAAACAAGCTTCGTCTTAACCGTTACTTTAAAAAAAAAAAAATTAACCATACACTTATGGTCAGATATCTGGACACACACACACACACACACACACACATGCATTTTTAGATCTGTGATAATGCATTCAGAAATTCTTCGTATTCCCCTTTTCCTTTTGCACTTCATATGGCTATTTATGTCGCAGTTTAAGTAACACTGATGTTGTGTGACAGTTGAGCATGCCGGGGTTAGGCTCAAACTAGAGCAAAAACAGGAAGGAAAAAAAGAGAGATCATAGGGAAAAAAGAGGAGCGAATAAAGGAAAAAGGCAAATATCTTTCCCCATTCCTGTGAAGCCTTAAATAAGACAACTAACAAAGTGAAAGGTTCTGTGGGATAGAGAAGGTTGTGGCTCTCCTGAAAGGTTTGCCTTTGTAGAAATGAGGTGTCAGTCGAAGGCAGGATTTCCTCGGGGCGCAGCACAACATGAGCCCATTTCTTATCATTTCCAATTCCGAGACGTGATCTGCTTTGAATTCACTAATGCTGAAAGAACCCCACAGACTTGAAGCCAGTTCAAGATGAAATCACAACCACATCCCTGACAAACTGCCATCCACCACACAAGGATTAAGCAGTCGCTGCATATCAAATCCCTGCCAAAAAAGCTGGAGCAATGTATGCACTTAAATACATACAACAAAACTTCCTGCTCTGGTTTTGATCCTCACTTTGTGAACTATTTTGAACTATCAAAATATCAAGAAAAGTGGAACATAACTTTAAAAAAATGGTATTGGTAGAAATGTCCAATAAGGAAAAAAAGTCAAAATTATTTAAACATTTTTTATGGTATACAAGATGTAAGTGTAAAACCCTCTGAATCTGCTCTAATGCATCATACTCTGTTTGTACTCATACTTGATAAAGGTTTGTCATTGCGATACAAAGCTTGACCAGTAACACTGCAAATCCAGTCATTTCATAACAGTTACTATCTCTCAAATGTTGTGAATTTTAAATAAATTAATTGATCACATCTATTTCATACGGTTAATGTTTAGTTACCTATTTCTTTTCCGATATTACCTATTTAACTTGGTCTCATGGCCCCTTCTTTCAGAGGAAAGTTATACTGTATTAATCTGACTTGTTTTACACAATGTTCATGATCATTTTGCTGTTTAAATTATGTATGAGGTCTCTGTGGGGAGAAATGTGACTATTAGCATATCTGATAGGAATGGCAGCGCAGTTTTCCACCTCTCTCTGTCCTTGGAACCAGGCAGGAAAAACCTGACTGTTCATCAATACCAGGTCATTTTATCCTGGGTAGTTTTGTTCATCTACACCATTCCAAAGCTTAGCTAATGACACTTGGAGACATCCTTAACATGATGGTGGACCCAGAGGGCTCCAACACCAGTGTGAATAGACCCTAGCAGCGTCTGGTCTTCTATGAAAGCCCTTTAAAAAACTGCAATTAGAAACACCTCAGACACACAAGCCTGAAACGAGACACTGTTAGATGTTGAAAACAGACACCCCCGGGTGCTTACTTCGTACATTTACTTATGATACCGTTTGCACCTCACAAAGTGGGAGGGGAAGGAGAAAAACGTCTTTAATCATGAGTCAAAGGTAAAAAAAGTGCAAAACAGAAATGCAACTTGCATTATTTGACTTAAAACTGTAGAAAGGTGGATTTGAAATTTACTTCAGTGTATTTTCTTATTTTTAGGCTGTAGAAATGTTCCGTTATTGTTATAACTGCATTGTGACATTGTATGTTAGTTTTTTTTTTTCTGAAACACGTGACCCAAAGATAAAGCTATTAAACTTTGACTGGACTTAAAGAATGGTTCAATTAACTCTCTGAGTCAAGCCAGCAAATATGATCATATCTTTATGCAATTGTAAAACAGAAATAAGTAAAGGCAAACATGTTGCATCAATTTGCTGTACCCTCTGGAAGACAGCACATTATCTCTTCTCTCTGTGGGCCACTTAGATTGCTAAGGCTAGCATTTGAAAAATACTTACCTTGTTAAAGAAAGTTTAATGTCATATGCAGTTGTTTGACCCTTATGAATATTAAAGGTTTCCATCTCTGGCCTATTAAAAATGCATGTGGCATTGTGGTTGTTGATCACATTTAGAACGCCCATGCAAATTGGACTGTCTTCCCTGTCAGGGCCTTAGATGAATAATGTAGTTGTGTTGTATATTCAGGGACACACCATTGACAGTCAATTAACAAGTTTGATTGGTGTGTGAACTCATTCTTTTGAACTGTTAATTTTATGTAAATAGTATTCGCTCTCCCTTCGCCTCTGTCTATCCCCCATCCAGGATCAACACGGAAACCAGAAAACCCCAGATCCCTGATTCCACCTCCCACTAAGAGTAACCAGAGTAGGATCCTTAATAATTGATCATCACACACCTGCTTGGTAGACGCGGTGGGAGCCTGCTTTTAACAGTCAAAGGGGCTCCATGCTTGCACCTTTTGATATTCAAATTGACAAATTGGAGCTGGTCTTTATGAATTCACAATGCTGTGAGCTTTTTTTTTTTTTTCATGCAGACAAGCCTGTTTAAAGATTGCGGCCACCTATCCAACCTGATGGAGCTCTTCTTTGTTGGAGTGGATACGATGGCATTTGATAGCTCATAAATGGAATGCCAGTGACAATTTGTTGTTGATATGTAGGAATCTTGCTTTTATTTTCAGTAGTAATGCGGGCTCCTGGGCAGATCATGCTAGCAAGCAAATGATCTGGTGATTGATCCAAATGGTTGAAAGCTGTGAGGGCCTTATTTCCCTCCTCTGCTCTCTATTACTCGCAGTCCTCTTCCGAGTCTCTCCTCCGTCTCTTGTATCACACACTGTCCCAGTAATTTGCAGTAGCAGAGATTGAAGCCGAAGCTTCATCAAAGCTGACAAGTGAACCCAGGAGCCGGGGATCACGGCAAACCCATTCGATTATGGAAATAGCAATGACAATGTCTGCCCTCTAGCTAAATAGTTGTGTGGCTGACATCTTGTTCTGCTACTATTCAATGAGGAGAGGATTAAACGCAGCAAATGGTAAATATGCTATTGAAATTTAAACGTTGTTCACCAAGTATATAATGGGCCATCACCATCTGTAGAAAACAAAAAAATTATTTGACAAAAGTTTGGAGTAGAGCATTTTTCTTCACGCTTACTCAGATATTCTCATTTGAAAAACTACACCCCTGGCTGTGTCTTTGCTGATCAGTAAAGGACCTTGTTCGTATATCAATTGATCCTCCCTGGAGATTTGCATATGCACTGGGCTTCTGCATTTCTTAAGGTATACGAAGCATCTGTTTGCATTGACCAGCAGCTAGTGTCCAGCGTCAACTCTGTCCAGCCTCAAACACTGCTGAGCTGCTGGGTCTCTAAAGGCCTGACCCCTTTAATGCCATGCCCCATCCCTACTCGTCTGTACGCATTAAGCAGATAGATTCTTTTTTGTCTTAGTATTCAAGGGGCTTACACACAGGTATTTAACAGAAAATTGAGCCTATTATCACATAGTTAATTGTGCTTATGAATAACATTGGTGTCTGTAAGAAATATTGGCAGGCATCTAACAGAATACCCTCTTGTTTTACAAGTGTGAAATAGTAGGTGTTGGTGATAAGATGCTGAAAAATGGGAGAGATGGGAGTTGTTAATTAATGTACTGCTAATCAAACACAGGCGTATAGTTTATGTTAATCTTAATATAGCACCTCACAGAGTTGTGTTTTTTTTTTTTTTTTTTCCAAAAAAGCAATTATTTTTGCTTTATTTTATAGTTCATAGATTGAATATCTCTTTTCTTTTTTCATTAGGTGCTTCAAAAGCATACATGAAGTTAAGAAAGTATATATATATATATACACACACACCAGTGACCATCCTGATACTTTCATGCAGTTTGAAGCTTCCTCAACTTGTTTGTGTGGATTGTTCTTGTACTTTTGTTTTTAACACGAAACCTCTGCATGTAATTTCTTTTTTGTCTTATTTCCTCCTTTCTCTTAGGTGGAAGAGGTGGTCTTCTGTGCTGGTCAAATTGCTCTGGTCCCGTGCACCATGCAGTTGGTACAGGGTGGCACCTACACACAGGCCCTGCTGTCCTTCAGCCACGTGAAAAGGGTTCTGGAGGCCGTGGTCAGCAGCTTGACTCTGGCTCATGTTTTCCAAGCTCACTGTTACACCACGAGACACCAGGACATGGGGATGATCAGAGCCGTCTGGGATAGTGTGCTGAGGGCCTCGACTGAAGGGAAGGTCAGTCACTTTGGAGAAGGTTCTTTCTTTATTAAATGTATAACAATGGAGATTAATGTGTGACATTTGTATTGTAAATGCAGATGAAATATTGACCATAGCTACACAGTGTAACACTCACTTAGGATGAGCACATAATTAACAGATTATACTGCATAGGAATCTATGCATCGATGAATAAGTAAAAGAATGGAAAGTTGCCCTGAAATCCAATATTTCAGAGGCTTTTCAAAAATGTGTTTTATGGTTATAAAATAAGGGAATGTTTCATACCCCTCTGTGCCCCCAAGAGACCCAAACCGCTGCTACTGATATTTACCAGTGAGTGCACTCATGAAAAGTTGATGATGTGGGAAACACTGGTGTCTTTGATAATGCGGAGCTTGGCACAGAAGCAGATGTCTTCCTCAGAGCCTCCCTAATCCTTTGCCCCCACACACCATTTTGGAGCGCCGCTCAACTCTCAGAGCAGCTTATCCCCCTCCTCACTCCTCTTCCCAGCCGCCACCCTCCACCCTTACCTCCATTCTGCCACCCTGGCTTACAACCTCCGTTCCCTGCATCTAATAGGGTCTCCAGTCTCCCTTGGCAGCCCCTCTTCTCCTCCTCCAGTAATCTGTCTAACCATGGGAATAGGGCCTCAGGGAGAGAGGCAGAAGCCCACCTCTAACATGTGGCTGGGTGTAAGTGGTTAACAACATTAAAGACAGGGGAGACAATGTAAAGTAAATCTATATGTAAAATTCTAATCATATCTAAAGTTAGTCATAGTCATATTCATACAACTTTAATGTGTCTGATAAGATCATTTAAATTCCAAAACATATTTCGTGCACATGTAGGAGCTGGTGTCTCTTTGTTCATTTGACATATTTTGTCTTGCTGAAAAACACAGTGGAATAAAACTCTTGAAAGTCGTGGCATTTAGCATTATGACTGAGTCCCCTAGTTTAACAAGGCTAAATAAGGGCTAAGCTTTGGGGGATGGCAAGAGTGGGTTCATGTCAGAGGTCACTGAAGATGGACAACATTGTCCATCTGTTGTGCCTTCTTGCAGCCTGTCATGCCAGTCAAACGTTTTCCTTTTTACTGACCCAGGATTCCCACCAGGAGACCACGCTTTGAGATGATTTACAGGTGGAGCAGTCTCTATTGACAGCTCAGGGTCTCACCTGTAAACAGGTTTTTAGAAGAGACCTGGTTTAGGTGCTGGGTCGCTCACCTCACATAATATTCCCAGCTTGGCTTCACACTTTGCCCTCTCTTCCAATTCAAGTGCAGGTTTGTGAAGTATTGCTAAAGCAATTTATTCAGAGCAGTTTTTCCATCACAAACTTAAAAAAAAGAAAGAAAATGCTTAATATAATTGTGTATCATGCCTTTGATCATATAAGTCAAGGAGATACAGGACCCACTTTGCAGAAGATATAGTTCATATTTATGGTAGAAATATGTTGCCTTTTTGTGCAGCCACAGGGCCCAGTAGTTGTTGTGTGTTGATAATTTCTCTAATCAGGTGGATGAAGAAGCTCGCAGGGTTAATTGGGAGCATACTGGAGTCGCTACATGTGTGAAATTGTATTTACGCTGCATTAAACCACAAAGAGCCTGTTTGTCTTTTGTGCATGCAAGTGTGCACTCAAAAGGTTTGATGAACAGAGGGGTGGTGATGTGATAAGTCAATAAATGTTAACCAGATACCCCCCTTGAGTTGCAACATGTTCTGTGAACAAATCCGATTTCAAGAGTGTATTATTTATGAAGGCTTAGATGTCTTAATGCAAACAAGAAATGTTTATTTTCAGTGGGGGGGTTTTCTGCAGATTGTTATGGTCACTGCTGTGATTTGGAAATGGTTTCATAATTATTAACTTTACCTCACCCCTGTGACACGGCCCTGCATGTTTCATTTACACAAACAATCAGCACGAGCCTCAGAGTGGGATCCTAAGAGATGAAAGTGAATTGAGGAGTGAATAGGACAGGATATTATAGCAGACTGACAGCACTACAGTAAGTGCTGAGACATAAGAACCACATGCTGAAGGCATCCTGCTGGGCAGGAAATGTAGGGGAACTGGCTAAGCGGCGCAGCCCCATCAGCTCCCTGCTGTTTGCCGCCTTTACACCACTTCCTTATTACCGTGTTTACCGTTCAGCTTTCACGCCTCTCGGCCCTTCAACCCCTCCACACGCTCCAGGCACACGGACGCAGCTAACGGGGAGGAAAGTGGGGAGAAGGAAAACAAACATAAGGAGAGGCAGGTCACACCCCATCAGCGAAGAGAGCTGAGTGCAGCAGATTCAGACTACATGCTTTTACCTGCTGCCTACAGAGGGAGAGCGCACAAGGGGAATGGCTGCACGCCCTGGAAATGAAGTGGCATGAGGTAATGAGATGGATTGTGTTAAGTGGCAGGTGAGGAGTGGAACACAACCCCTCAATACATACATACTCCCTCTGCCACTTGCCAGCCCTCCCAACTTGTCACTCTAGCACTCAGCCTCAACTGTATATCAAACTACATTTTATTAGAATAATTTAATTAATGACGTATGATCGGGGAGGAATGAAATTGCCCCGCCGCTCAATCATCTGCAGAGGGTACAAACAGGAGTAGAACTACAACCACAGATCCACGTGTCCATACAGGAACAGACACAACACTGCGTATTAAGTAGATCTAGGGTTACAGAACTGCTGAACTAACTTCCCACTTTATGCAAAAATTGTGGTTGATGCATTAAAAAAGAAGCAAACGTGGGCTGATGTAACCTCATCCGACAGCTCTTATAAAAAGTCAGCAACTGTGCCACAGCAGTAAATCCCGCCAGAGGCTGGAGCACAGCGCTGAAGTCCTCAAATCTCCTTGTAGACCCTCGGTTGGGTTAAGTACCTCAGCACCGAAGGCCCGCAGGGTGGCCTTTAAGCCTGGCTGAGCAAGAACTCCCTGTCCTGTCACTCCTCTTCCCACTTTGCACTCTCTGTTCCATGTTCAATCACTATTGACAAGTGCAGGAGCAGTTCCCTCAAGGAGAATACCTAGTATGTGCCAGAGTGCTAATATAACATTTATCAAAGCATTGGGCTCGTATATGTGCTGTCACGATGTCAGACATGTGGACAGGTCTGTGCTGACATGGCTATTGTTGTCTGACTCTTTGATTGTTATTGCTGATCACTGCAAACAAGCGCCCTTCAAAATCAGGACAGTACAGAAATCTTAACATAACCCCCTCAGACGTGCTCATTAGGGGCACCTACCCTTTTTTCCCCCCACCCATCAGCACTGTTGATCCACAATGATGCGTTTGCTTAACTTTAATCTAAAGGTAAGTGGTGCTTCAGTGAGTCTGCCGGATTGGGTCATGACGGGTCTTTCTTTTGAAGGGACAAAGAGGCTGCCATCTGCTCTTGTCAATGATTTCTTCTCTTTTTTTTTGCGAGTGAATATCAAAATAAAATGTAAGTAACCTGTTATTATTCTGCACTTACAAAGTGGGGTGTAAGTGGATGAAAATTGATCCAGCACATTGAAAAGGGGGTTAAGTGTTTTTGCTCTATCGACTCTGACTGAAATGACGGTTATATAAAACACTCATTTCTCTCCCATTAGCAGATGAAGCAACAGCCAAAGATTATAAGAGGGCTACATTGTAGCACTGCTCCAAGACATTTTGCTGCCACTAATGGCCCTCAGTCCAAAAGACAGAAAAAATATATATATTTTGTCTCGATGACACTGACACACTAAATGTATGCGGTGCAACTTCACAAACATGTTGCAAGAAGTCCTCTTAAATAAAAGTCACGATGTTGGCAAAAGCAGCATACATAGAATTTGCCTGTGCTTTCTATTTGGGGTAGTTGCAACCATTGGATTTCTCCTGGATTTTTTTGTACACTGTCATTATCAAGGGTCATTTCACTGCCTCGCGTAAATTGATAGGCTGCCAGTCTGTCAAGTAAAAAGCATGCATTAGTGCTGTGTGGTAGCATCTTTCTGATGGGTTTTACAATAATGCTGATGGGTTAGTGTTTGTGTTCAAAGCCCACTGCGTGCATCACAGCGGGAGAGCCATACGTTAGATTGTTTTGTAGTGTATGGCAGGACAGAGTGTATCATTTCCCACGTTTAATTTGAGCGCCCTCCTTTTACATTTCAGGATTTGTGGTGGGAATCTGAGATCAAATCTCTGCCGTTATTGATCGCTGTGGTGCCTGCCTTACCCAAAGAGGCAACCGTTGAGCTTCATGTAACTGCAACCGAGGATGAACCCACCGGACGAAAGTCCACCCACGTGACCAAGAAGGTGGCGTGTGGATCGATAGACTGCCACACCGTATTGTCTGCTGATGGGGAGAATGGTTCCCTGTCGCTTTCCCTGGAGGTGCCTGGTGATGATCCGGGGGTCATCGATGTGAAGCATGTAACAGAAGACATCGTTTCGGCATTCATCAAAGCCATGAATATGAAGGATGCTAAGCTGGTGCCACTGTGCGCAAGAGTCTTCTACAAGAGTAGCCACTCACTGGCACAGCAGATTGTTCAAGGTAAGTTAAGAAGACACTATAGACAATAACATTAAAACCAAAACCACTGACCTAATTTTGTGCAACGGTGCCCCTTATAGAGTTTAAACTGCCCAGGCCCACCTTTGAATGTCCTGTGGAGTGTTTGCTGTGTGTGATTCACTCCTTCGGGGCGTTGGGTGGAGCCTCTATGGATCGTGTTCTCTTCTCTATATTCCCATAGTTTGATTTCTGAGATTTGGATAGTTGGAATTGATATGTGAGCTTTAGGGTCTAGTTATTCCATCTTGAAGCGACTTGTTCTGTTGGTGAAGAGACCAACTTGTTCAACTACATTTAGCAAGGTGATGAAGACATTGCAAATGCCAAGGTTCCAAGTGTCCCATTAGACTTTTGAATTTTAATTACATTATCGCTTACATTAGCGCTTCCCTCACCTGTCTGTGATCTAGTGTCATGTCGTGGCCAATGCCATCCTTTCCCCCTTAAAGAAGAACAATTCTCTACAAACTATCCTTTCAAATGCAACACTTTTGAGATGATCTGAAGTGTTAACGTGCAGCCTTCTGTAATAAGAATGACATATTACATGTTAAGCTCTGCAACAGTATGTTAATGACAAGACTATGACAGCCTGTCTCACTTTGCACACTTTATAAAGAAAGTTTGAGCTAACAATGGTTATGCCTCTCCAGAGAGCCTTCTTCTTCCTGTGTTTAATTATTGTACGCCATTTGCTGCGTCTTCATTGTGTACAGTAACCCGAGCAGCTGGCACACTCTTTTGTCATCATTATACTTTTATACGCCGCCATCTCCTGCTCCCAGGATTCTAGCTTCTTGTCAACGCAAACAAGGAGCAGTATTTGTTTTATCCAGAGAGATGTTCTTTCCGAGAGAAAAGGGCAACAAGCACATCGATCACATAGGCTCACTTGTCAAACCAGCGCTGAAGCAGTCAATTAAATTTTTACGTTTTTCCGAGCCGACCATCTTTCCGTCATCTTTAGCTTTGACATAACTTATCATTTTAGCATGTACAATTATGGTTACTGGTGATAAATGGAAAAGGGGTGTCTGTTTTTGTTTACATAACAGAGATTTCTATCATTACCTAATTATGATATTGTTACTATATACTGTATCAGGATGTATGATGCACATAAGTGGTTTTATGTCGCATTTTAAAATGTTGTGTTTTAAAGCTATTAACCTAATGTTACTCATTGCTAACTGCTCCAGAATAAATCCAGAACCTTATTCCTTTGACAGATGTGCCTTTGATTACAGACCGCTTCACTAAAACTATTTACTGACTCATCAATGAGGTGAAATCTGCTGCATTGCAATGCATGCAGAGCCAGGGCCTGCAAGCGTACCCATGGGCTTTTTTATGGGTCACAGCCTTTGCTCACTGAGTGATGAATCCAAAAAGTCAAAGGAGAAAAAGTAACACCTCTGGCGTTAGCGGTCACAGTCTTGCCACCGCTGCTGTCAGCGTGCAGACAGACAACATTGGAGCAAAATGTGACTGCACACCCCCTTCTGCATTTGGTTCGCTTTAGGATTCACAGTTGATAGACATGACATATGGTTTGGATGAAACCTTTAAACATCTTGTCTTAGCTTGTTACTTACGATAGAGGGACTCTCAAAGATAGGCAAACATACCCCAGTAAATACAGTAAAGACCATTCTGAGTAGTACTGTTAAAATAAAGTGTACTGTCAAAACAATTTCATTGCCTCAAGTGGCTTAAATGTTCTGATTTTATTCATTAAGATGCAGACCCCTTTTAAATAAACACACTTATTTCTTCAGTGTTTGAATCAGCTAAAAAACATGAAATATATCAAGATTGACGGAATAATAATTTGTCATCACAAAAAAAAGAAAGTTAAACAACTGAAAAAAGAAGAACTCGTGTTTTTTATTATAAATGTTTGCTTATGCAAATACATCAATTGATTGACAGGTCTTTTTAAACACCTTCAACTAATGGAGCCTTTTTTACCTTTGTCCCAACTTTTTTGGAAGGTGATGTGACCAAATGGAGGACGAGTTATTATATTCTTTAAAATGTAAAATGGCTCACCTTCAATCTTTTTTTTTTGGGCTTGAAAAAGATATTATTTTGGTGATCTATATATTTAATAATTTCTTGTCACATCAGGCTCCAGAGGAGGAGAGGTGTGAACTTTGTATCCAGTCCAAAGGGAGTTACGCCCTGCCTTAATGAATAAAAACTTTGCTCAGATGAAATATGATTGTTAAGCGGGTTGATGAGATCTGGAAAAACTCTGCAGCTTCATGTTAACAAGCAGCTTCTTGCATAACGGGAAGTCATTATTCTTTTGGTAATCAGTTAGATATTACTTTTACCTGCTGCAAGGAAAAGAAAGTCGACTTTTTCCCCCTCTGTCTCTTTGTAGCACACATGGCCCATTGTCTTTTCTGCTTGAACTGAGTTTTTGTGTGCCAACTCCTGCTAATTACTTTCTTGTTTACTGGTTAGTGTGACCAGTTTGGAAGTCAGTGGTGCACGAATGAAAAACAAAGGCTCTGGGACTCCATTAAAGCCCAATAAAACCATCAGGCACACCTTTTTTTTTGTCTTTCACCAGTTTTTCTCTGTCACTCTTCTTCTCATCCATTTAGATTTGCTGTATTTAGTTTAGTACCGAAAAGAGCGTTGGAATCCTGGTTTTGTTTTGTACTTTACTGTCTTTTTTGCAGTCTTTTGATGATAGATAGGTGATCATCCAAATGTGAGGACTTTTTCAGCCTCTGTGACCTCACAGTCCGGCTGCCCGGGTAACCCAAAAAGGGAGCCTAATAACCCTTGGACACGGTTTGGAAATGAGATATGTAGTGCACAGAAGACTTTTAGAGTGTTTAGCATAAACATTTGAAGGGTTTAAAGAAAAATAGGCTGCCTTTACTCATATTTCACTTCAAAAGATAGAGAAAACTTAAAATTGAATTGTGATATGTCACCTTCACCACCTCATTGTCTCTCTTTCATCCATAAACAGATTTCTGTGAGGTTAGGTGCTGAAAGAGACTCAAAGAGGGAGTGCAATTATTTCCCATCCGGTGGTAAAAAGATTAAAACATCCTGACATAAAACGGGCTTTGTGTGCAAGGTGTGATGAAGGGTGTGTTTCTTCTCTTAATAAAACCATCCCCTGTCTGTGATCTCTATAGCTCGTTCAGTTGTCAGCTAGCTATCTCCAGAGGATCCTGCCTCCTGTGGTGCTCTGATAACACATATTTAGGCTTTTAATGCCCTCCAAAAAGGCCTGTGTTCAGCGGGGGCATTTTAAGCTCTAGTGCATATTAGCTAATTAGGGTGCAGGGGCTCTTTGGAAGGAGGTTTGGCATGCTGCT